AGCCCCTCCTTCGCCCAGGACCTCCAGAACTACTGCAGCACTGCTGAGTGGCAGCAGTTCTTCCAGAACCACGTCAGTACAGCCACATCTTCCTCACACACACACACACACACAGCCTAGCAGACACCCAGTTAGACTGTTTACCTTATGATAAGCTGGCAGCTTCTCTGTGTCAGTATATGTTACCACAAAACCTTTTTGTTTGACCTTTTTTGGATGCAGAACGACAAGAATAAGTCTCTCAGCCCTCATTCTCAGTCAAACACGAGATAAGCTCAGTTGTGAAGGATTAAAGCACTTTTTTAGGTTGATATAACCCATACCCTCTTTCACATTTATTACATATTATATAATCACCTTTGATTCACCTAAAGCTGTTCGAGCTGTAGACTCCTCTCTCTAAAACAGTGAATAACTTACTCAGTGGACGTGTGTTTGTTTTAGCATGAGGGCACTTTGACGGTTAATCCGCTTCCATTGTAGTGATGAACTCTTTATTTAGACCCTTTTGTTCATCCAGTGCCAAAACAAGATAGAAAAATTCAGATTTATTCGCCTCATCTCAGAAATCCAAAACAAACCATGCGTTTAAATGAAACAGACATCACGGCAGAGTGACCTAGAGGAGATTTATGAAGGCTGAAGTGTGACTGTGTGTGGTTATAAATCTACCCTGTTTGGACTGTTCATGTATACAAATCACACGGTATATTACCATGCCTTAAATCGGGACGTACACCAGGTTTTACACTATTCCCAAATATATATATATATATATATATAGAGAGAGAGGTGAGGGGAGGTGAAGCGAGAGAGTAAAATGTTTGTTTTGATTGTCCAGCATAAAAATGTGTTGTGTTCATTAACTTTGTTTTTTGAAGGTTGATACAGTACAATACATTTTCAGTATGAATGAAGGAATCAAAATATCAACAACAGTAATATGATTGAAGATGATCAGTAGTCCTTATTATTATAATTATATTATTAATGTTTACAATTTATTTTAAATATTTAGGTATTTTAATATTTGTAAATAAATTGTCTATATTTATAATAAATAAAATAAATAATAAATAAAATAATATTTTATTCATTTTATTGTATGCATTTTTTATGTAATTATATGCAATTATATATATATATATATATATATATTACGAATTTCTATTATTATTTAAAGTTATTTTATGCATTAATTTATTAATTTATTTATTAAATTAAATGTATTAATTTATTAAATCATTTTAAATGAATTGTAAGCATTTATAATAAAATTATTTTTTATTTGAAGGATTAATTTGTACTATTATTATATTATATTATGTTATATTATATTTTTTACCAAGCAATTCTACAAAAAATGAGATTTACACATTAATATATATTTCTGATGTGTGGTCACAGATGTGCCAGTATTAGCTGCTTAACAGTAACCTCTAACATGGCTCATTCGATCAAATTTTAGTGCAGAAAATATCCATTTCAACTATGTGACGTGTTTTTCAAAATGTGTGCCTGTAGGTGGAGCCCACAATGCAGCAGTATGAGCTCGACACTTTTGGAAAGAGTCACGACCTGATGTCCAACTTTTGGAATTCCTGCTTTGATGACCTCATGAGCACTGCGCAGAAAAGAGACAAGGACCGTTCTGACTGCAAAGCAAAGTTTCAGGTGTCTGCTAACTCCAGTTATTCCAATACAGAGGGAATATGTTAGGCTGGTAAAGAGAGGATTGCTGGTTTGATCCATACATGGAGCAACCCTTCAGTGCTACTGCTTGGGATTGTTTATTACACATCCCAAAACACAAGTGGTTATTATAGATGTGTTAATAACATGGACTGTTTGTGCTCTTCTCTTTCCAGGAGCTCATCGTTGACCCGTACCTAAAACGAGTGCGCACCGAGAACAGCCGCTACCACGTTGTGCAGAAGATGATTAACGGCCAGCAGGGGATGGTGTGGAGGCACTGGAAATCACTGCGTAGATTACTGAGCAGTGAGAGAGGAGCATGGGCCCTCAGGTCTGCATGCGTCAAGCCTTTCTGATGCTTAGTGAATATGATGCATTGAAGTATTTTGTTATTTTATTTGTCATTTATAGATATTTATGTATATATGTAGTATACACAGCAGTTCAGTCACTTCGCAGGCTGATCGGTCGATATCTTGTCCTTGTAACTGTTTTGGCGGTTTCCCGTGCCGTCAGTCTTTCTTCTCCGTGTTCATAACAAGTTTAAGTCCTTTTGATTTAAAACTCTTCTCTACTGACTGACTCACTCACTGCTTCATGAAAGTTGCAGCGACTTTTTAAAATTTTGGTCGGGAAGTGTATACATTATACTTGGCTACTTTTTATATATATATATGTGTGTGTGTGAAAGTAAAAGTGACATGCGAAGGGCAAGTATGGTTAACGTTACTCGGAATTTGTCCTCTGCATTTAACCCATCCAAGTTAGGAGCCGTTAGTAGTGAACACACACACACGGGCAGCCATTTTTACTGTGGCGCCCAGGGAGCGATTGTGGGTTAGGTGTCTTGCATAAAGGCACCTCAGTCATTTCCTGCCGGCATTGAAAATCGAACCCACAACCTTCGGGTTACCAGTCCCCACCGTACCGTAAACTGAGTTGAAGTGAGGTTCAGTTGTATAGACTGATGCTGTATATCTAAGTATTATATTGTGGTGCGCGTGATGGACTGAGTGGAAGTGTTTGTGTTTCAGGGTTCAGCCAGAGGTGAGATGGAAACTGTCGAGTGCAGAGACGTACTCTAAAATGCGTCTGAAGCTGGTGCCAAACTACAACTTTGATTCTCACAGTGATGCCAGTGCACTGAGAGATAACATGGGTTAGTATCCCCGTAATCTGCTAAATGAGTTTTAATAAACGAATAAATGATACTGAATAAAACAGTAGGGAGTAATAGATCTCACAATGACTTTGATGTCATTGTACATGGCTATTGTGATTATTCTGTTGTTGTTGTTTTTTTGCCTTACTTACAAATACTTTAAAATCATCTTGAACTCTTTGTTATTTCAGTGTTCATGTTTATATGTTGAATTTCTGGGTTACACTTTATTTCGATCGCCACTTTAGACATTCTACTAATTATAAGTAACTTTTCAACTACATGTCAACTAACTCTCATTAGAGTATTAGTATATTGTAGTAAACTGTCAGTAGACTGTTAGGTGTTAGGGTTCGGTTTAGTAGAATATGTTTACTTGTAGTCACCAAGTTACTTATACTCAGTTGAATGTCTGTTGGGGGACCAACAAAATAAAGTGTTAGCAGATATTAAGCAGACAGTCTACTTATACTCTAATGACAGTTAGTTGACATGTAGTTGAAAAGTTACTTATAGTTAGTAGAATGTCTAAAGTGGACTGTGTTACCAATTTCTGGGCTGTTTTTCTTCTGCAGGAGCCGACAGCCCTCGCAGCTCGACCGAACCCCTCCCTCTTGCTGTTGCCAAGGAAGCCAAAGTTAGTGACATGGAGGACGACAAACTAGAAGATGAGGATTTTGTCTTCCTTGAAGAGTGAGTCTCCTAGAGTGTCCACTCTTTTGCTTTAAGGAAGTTATCTAAACCAAGAGATCTCAATTAAACTGGTTGATGCCAAAGAACCACCAAATATGATGAACCCCTTGTAAGGAATTATCTTATAATATATGAGGAACATATTTTTATCTATTAAAAAATTGGTATGTGAATACAATATAATAGCAATTGAATGAAAATAATATTTGAATAATTGAATTAATATCTTTTAGCATGTTACTTAACATTTTTAAAAAATCAAATATTCTGTGAGTGGCTTAGAAACATCAGCAGCAATATGACACCCAGTTTTCCAAATATAGTTTATTCATGATGATAATGAGAATAAAAATCGTCTTCCACCGAGTAATAGTGTTATGTAGGGTGAACTCAAAAACAAGGGAGTGCTGGAACCAAATGCATTGAGTTTAATAATAGAATAAGCATAACAAATCCAACATGGAGAACAGAGTAGCCAGGAACCGAGTCCAGCAAACATAACATCCATGTAGGACAAGACTCGACAAGGAACAATGGGGTTTTAAATGTACAAGGGGTAATTGGCAAACAAAACACTCCTGGGAACAATAAATAAATAAAAAAAATAGTCAACAAGAAAACCTACAAAACATGGCACAGAAGCGGAAATAACATTAAAGTCCACACAACAGCAGTGGAAAACACAGGCTGGGATCACGATAAAGACGTTCCATCCATATTATGTGTACTTATCTGAGAATTATAATGTCTTCAGATGTGGCTCATCAAATCATGTTTCAGAACTGGTGCTTTTTTAGTATTTATAATCTTATAGTATTTATTAATATATACTTTATTTTTATAATATATACTATATATATATATATATATAGTAATATATACTTTATATATATATAAACTTTATTATGTATTTACAAGTTTCAATTTTTTTTTTTTTTTTTTTTTTTTTTTTACATTTTTCTAATATCCTAATGTACTTTTGTAATTTTTATTAGTTTTTTTTGTGTGTGTGTTATTTTGGTCATTTTTGCACCTCATATTTACTACTACTGGTTATTTTAATTTCAAATTTTCGTTGTCCAAAACAAAGCAGAATCAACTGTTGCACGTCTTGGTGTAGTTGTGTTTAGTTCCTGAACGAATCGGTGTCTTTGGATGAATCAATTGAGTAACGATTCAGCCTTTCTGGTACCTGCAAACAGCTTGGGGTTTTGTGACAGAGTGCATGTTAAGCAGGGTGTGTGTCATCATTCCTCAGGGCGGAGGAGGGTGAGGAGGAGAGCCAGAAGGAAAAGCTGGTGCTCTCAGAGGAGTGTGAGCTCATCACTATTGTTGCCGTGGTACCAGGTCGCCTGGAGGTCACAACACACCACCTGTACTTCTACGATAACAGCAGTGAGAAAGAGGAGACAGAGGAAGGTGAGTTGCAGCTTGTGTCGGACCAGTTGATCAGTTTAATGGACGATTGCTGAATATAAGAAATCATTTATTTATTTTTATTACAATTCAAAAGTTTGGGGTATCACGGTTTCGGCAAGAATATTAAGCAGCATAAACTGAAATATAAATATCTTGAGCACCAAATCAACTATTGGAATAATTTCCGAATTAATCATGTGACACTGAAGACTGGAGTATTGATGTTAAAAAAAAACTATTTGCAGTATTTCTATTTTTACTGTATTTTAGATTAAATAAATGCAGTCTTGGTGAACATAAGAGACATCATTCAAAACAAAATTAATGGATATTTATTATTTCAAACATTTGACCAGTAGTGTATTGGATAAGATATGATTCATGATTATAAATGCGTATGCTTTTGACGGTCCATCCAGGTATTGGGTTTGATTTCAAGAGGTCATTGTCACAGCTAAGGGAGGTTCACCTGAGGCGATACAACCTGCGGAGATCAGCACTAGAGCTGTTCTTCATTGACCAGGCACACTACTTCATCAACTTCAGGAAGGGGGTGAGGACACCTAGTAGATGGCAGCAAGCATTGGTGGCATTTGAGGTCTCTGTGTTTTTATATTTGTTTGGGTTTTCCCACAGGTGCGGAACAAAGTCTACTCCAGGATCCTGGGTCTCAGGCCGCCCAATCTGTTCTACTTTGGTTCTCGCTCTCCTCAGGAGCTCTTGAAAGCCTCCAACCTGACTCACGTACGCCTATATGAATGAATGCTCGTAGCACAATTTTTTTTTCCATTTATGTAGGGAATCAAAAACTTGACACAAAGTTTAACACATTTTATTCTGATTAACACAAACTCCAGACACAATTGAGCCTTGGTGCTTATATGGGAGATAATGATTGGAAACGGTTCTGCATTGCGTTATAATCCCATCCCTCATAATCAACTGCCAATAAAAACCTGTTAAAAGGACCACACAAAAAAAAAGCTTCTAAATCAAACTGTTTATTTTCATTTTTGTTCCTTCTGCAGAGATGGATTTACAGAGAGATCTCCAATTTTGAATATCTGATGCAGCTCAACACCATTGCTGGTCGCACATACAATGATCTGTCCCAGTATCCAGTGGTGAGTTCTTACAGAGCCTAGCCTTTGTTTTGCTGTTTTCGTTTAGTCAAAATATTTGTTTTTGTTTCTTTTCATTTTGTTTCAATTTATTTTTTTGTTTTGTTGGTTTCGTTTAGTTTCATTTCAATTTGTTTTGTTTCTTTTCAATTGCTGTTGTTTTGTTTTTGTTTCATTTCAATTTGTTTTGTTTTATTTTGTCATTTTTGTTTAGTTTTTATTTGTATAGTTTTATTTGTTTAGTTTTCATTAATTTCTGCGTTGTTTTGTTATTTTCATTTAGCTTTGTTAAATTTTCTATTTGATTTGTTCTATTTCTATTTTCTATTTATTTTCTTCTTTTTTTTTTTTTTTAGTTGTTTTTGTTACATTTTTTGTTTTTGTTTTGTTTTCCAAACCGCTTGTCCTATGTTGTGTCGTGGATAAGTTGGAGCTTACCTACTTCTCAAGCTTAATTTTATTTATGCATTTTATTTTATTTTTTTAAATATTTTATTTATTTTTTTCAATGTTTTTTTCACAATTTTACAAAATTTTAAATTAATTTTATTAACCCTAGATTTAATTTAAAACATTTAAATGGGTGGTAAATATGCATTTAAAATAATTTTGCGGAAAAATCTAAATGCTCAGGATTCTCGTGTTGTTGCTGGATATTGTACTGGTTACGAGAGTCATCACTTTTCTTCATGTGCATGTGTGTATTCTCAGTTCCCCTGGGTGTTGTGTGACTACACATCTGCTGAATTGGATCTGGAAGACCAAGCGGTTTTCAGAGATCTGTCCAAACCCATTGGTGTTGTCAACTCTCGCCATGCACAGAACGTCAGGGAGAAGTGAGACAGTCTTGCAGTCCTTTTTGCATTATCAAACAATATGTGTATCACAAAACCAGTAGGATGGATAACAATACTTCTATAGCTACTATAACTATAGCTATAACATGATTTATAAATAGATTTTAATAAGGAAATAGTTTGATCTTTCATGAGGCAAAGCAATGTAATGTAGACTATTTTGTCTGTCAGCTGATTGCTAAATGTCTTGTTGTTGTTTGAATAGGTATGAGAGTTTTGAGGACCCAACAGGCACTATCGATAAGTTCCATTATGGCACACACTACTCTAATGCTGCCGGCGTCATGCACTACATGATCCGCACAGAGCCCTTCACCTCATTACATATACAGCTCCAGAGCGGCAAGTAAGACACACACTCTCTCACCCACACACACACACACAAGTGCAGTCATACTACTGGGCAAAAGCTGCAAGCTAAGGGCAGAGGAGTCCAATCCTTTACCTGGACGACCAACATCCTGCAGAGTTTAACTCAAACACACCTGAACCAGCTAATCAAGGTCTTCAGGATTATTAGAAACTTCCAGGAAGGCCTGTTGGGGCAGGGTGGAGCTAAACTCTTCAGGACGTTGGCCCTTCAAGCAGTATTGGACACCCCTGCTCAAGGTTGTGCTTAATTTTGCTTCGGGCCGCATTTTAATTATTATTGTTTTATAGCTAAAGACATATTCTCGAATGTATGCATTTAATCATTCTAAGTATTGTTACCTGAGGTACAAATTGAACTAAAATCTTAATAATATCATTAAAGAGGCCATATAATGACCTTGATTTTGTTTTTGGGTTATGATAGAATTCATCCTTGAATGTAAAAAAAATATATATATATATATATATATATATATATATATATATATATTTTTTTTTTTCACATATGCTGCATTTTTGCAGCATGTCTCTTCTAGGTATGTCTGAAACGCTCCGTTTAGTTCAGATCTCTATGAAGCCCCTCCTTCCGGAAAAGTGCAATGAGCTCAGATTGGTCGGCTGGACCCAGAGGGATTGGTCAATGCCACAATGTCACGCCCTTACCATAACCACGCGTTTCAACACAGTACTAATGCCTAACTAATTAAACCAGGCCTCGCACCTTGTTAGTGCATGTACCAGGAGGAGATCATTTAACGGCACACTATGCAGGAATTGTGTTTTTGTCAAACAGCGGCCCCTAGAGTACTTGTATTTAACGTTACTGTCGTAAATACCACTCACGTAGAGTTTGACTTGGCGTGACATGTTACATAGTATACAATTTGTACAAATTCAATACAATTTTGTCGTTTAATGAGATTTAATATATGCTGTTAGTGGTGAGAATTTTCACTTGAATAAATACAAAGATCCATTCAACCCGAAAAAAGTCATATAGCCATTCAAAGAACTGTAACCATTCAAAAAAAAACTGTATAGTTCCCCTTTAAATGAGGAATATTGTGACATGTATGTTCCCGGAAGAAAACTCAAGACATTTGTGGCATTTCAGGGATTTCAGAAAAAGTGCTTACATATATAGAGAGAGCAACTCCTTTTGGAGTGGACTTTGTAACTTTGCAGGGCTAAAGAAAGTTGAAAATGTAAAAAAAAAAAAAAAAAAAAAAAGAAAAAAGAAAAGAAACAAAAAGCATAATATCTCCTCTTTAAATGTTATTGATTATTTAAATTAGTTTGATGGTTTTGACACTCCAAAAATTATAAAACTATATATACATACAGGAATGTAGATCACCAACATCAAATTGTAAATGTTATAAATATTTACAATAAATATTGTAAATAAAAAATCCTGTTTGTTTGCACATCCTTGTACAACCACCACTAGGTTGCAGTATTGTTTACCTGATGGTTTTTTAAATAATCATGCACATTGTCATTTGTTTGGGCTGCTCTTATTTAAGTGATTCCGTGTGTGTGTGTGTGTGTGTGTGTGTGTTTAGGTTTGATTGTGCCGATAGGCAGTTTCATTCAGTAGCAGCAGCATGGCAGGCACGAATGGAGAGTCCAGCGGATGTGAAGGAGCTCATCCCAGAGTTCTTCTACTTCCCAGAGTTCCTGCAGAACTTGAACAGTAAGTGAGTCACTGATGAAAAGCACACTGCCACAGATATATGGTAAATGGACTTTAAATTGTATTATATCTTGTGTGCAGATTTTGATCTGGGATGCTTGCAAATGAATCAGGAAATGGTCAATGATGTGTTGCTTCCCCCGTGGGCATCTTCACGTGAAGACTTCATCAGGAAACACAGAAAAGCCTTGGTGTGGGAACTGACACAATGCACAACACACTCATTTCAAAGCACACACATATACCGTATATATGAAGAGTTCAGATGCAAAAGCCTCTAAATGCCATTTGAAATTTTCTTCTTTAATGATGATTTTTATCAAACTTGTATATTTAAGTTCAGTATTTTTACTTAAATTGCATTGAGGATTACCTATTAATTGTCATTTAAGTGAAATTACTGAACTTGAACATATAAGCTTGATAAAAATGATCATTTTAGAAGAAAATTTCAAATGGCACTTAGAGGCTTTTGCATCTGAACTCTTCATATGTATGTGTGTGCATGTATATGTGTGTTTATATTGTGTGTTTTTGAATATAATAAACATGTATTTGTATGTAATCACATCCAATTTAGACTGGAATTAACAATGGCAAAAATATATTTCTGCCGTGACGCTGCAGGATCAATGTCTCATTGGCTTTTAAAACATTTGTTCTTGATCTGACACACACTCTCCTTGTGTATATCTGTGTGTTTAAAGGAGTGTGAGTATGTGTCTGCTCACCTACATGAGTGGATAGATCTCATATTCGGGTTTAAACAGCGAGGACCTGAAGCAGTGGAGGCTCTTAATGTCTTCTACTACTGCACTTATGAGGGTAAGAGGCCTCTTATGAGTTTGTATTAGTTTGAACATGTTCCTGCATGGAAAATATGACCGATCGTTGTGTGTGTTTTGGCTGTCAGGTGCAGTAGATCTGGACGCCATAGCTAATGAGACCGAGCGCAAGGCCCTGGAAGGCATCATCAGCAACTTTGGTCAAACACCCTGTCAGCTTCTCAAGGTGGGATATATATATATATTACTATTTAATGCATTGAATTCACTTTAATTTCAGTTTTAGATGCTGTGCATTTCCATTTAGTATGTTCAGTGCTTTGACTTATTTCAGTTAGTTTTTCATCCAATATTGGTAACGCTTTACATTAAGGTTTCATTTATTAACTTTAGTTAATTGCATTAGTTAACATGAACTAACAATGAAAAATACTTCTAAACATTTATTAACCTCAATGTTCACATATTGTTTAGCATTGACTAATACATTATTAAACTCAAAAGTTGTATCTGTTAATACCTTGGGTCTAAAGGCATTTGTGTAATGTATTGTGGGTAAAAGTGAACCCTCTCTGTGTCATTCAGGAGCCTCATCCTCCCCGTTTGTCAGCAGAGAACGCATTCAGGCGGCAGGCCCGCCTGGACTTACTTCCCCCCAACCTTTTTGATCAGCTCAGTAAACTCCGATCTTTCAAGGAGGTAAGTCCAAATTTATCAGTATTTTATTTCAACTAAATAATGTGCTGAAATGTCACATTTGAGTTTGATTTAAGGAGATTCTTTTGTGAAACTGATGTGATTGTTTTTGATGTTGTTTTCGTGGAGGTGGTGAGTGATGGGCTGCCATTAGTGCAAGCTTTGGTGCCCCGAAATCAAACCCGCTCCATTATCATCCCAGGTTCTGACATACTGGTAAGATTAGTTCACAGTTACTGTATGTTCACTTGTTGTACACTAATATTGAATTAGGAAGAACCAATTACTTAAAACAGGAATTTTTGGGTGCAAGTGGGTAGTGGTTCTCAAGCAAAGGGCCTGGGTCCATTAGGGGGCCTCGACAGACTTTCAGACGACTGAAAATGATGTAAAATAAGACAAAACAAGTGTGAATAGAAATGTATAATTCTCTGTAAAACCGCTTTGGAATGATTTGTACAAACAATTTGGAAATCAATTAGAAATGTTACAATAGAAACATTGCTCAATGACTTAACACAAAATACGTACTTTACAGATCATTTTGAAAACAATTTGTCTTTCTCACTCTTTATATTGTGTACATGGATTTTTATCACTTATCTATATATATAACATATGTATTTATAGATCAGTGGTCTATATACACTACCGTTTAAAATTTGGGGTTGGTACGATTTTTTGAAAAATCGTTTTTTGAGAGATTAAAAATACCATAAAAACAGTCATTTTGAGAAATTATTACTATTTAAAATAACGGTTTTCTATTTAAATGTAGATTAAAAACGTAATTTATTCCTGTGATGGCAAATCTGACTTCAGTCTTTACTGTCACATGATCCTTCAGAAATCATTCTAATATGCTGCTCAAGAAATATTTACTATTATCATCTGTTGAAAATTCTTTGATTAATAGAAATGTATTTGAATTTATTTGTTAGATTATTAAAGTGTTCATTTCTTTCAATCTTACTAACACCAAATATCTGAACGGTAGTATATTCTGCCTTTATATTTTAGTAAATTGGTTCATCGAGTTTGGGGGTCCCTGACATCAGTAAGTTTGTTACAAAGCAGACACCCTTTTGAATGGCTTTTGTCCTGTTTTTTAAGGTGACGGTGAGTGCTAACGGAATGATAGGCACTCATAGCTGGCTTCCCTACGACAAGAGCATAGCCAATTACTTCACCTTCACCAGAGACCCCTCTGTGAGCAACTCAAAGTAAGTTAACTATTCACTATAAACACATTATATAATCAAGTGCAGAGGCTTTTGATCAGTGATGTCATACGGTTTTAAAGGGATACTCCACTTTTTTTTGGAAATAGGCTAGTTTTACCACTCCCCCAGAGTTAAACAGTTGAGTTTTACCGTTTTCTAATCCATTCAGCCGATTTTTTGATATTTAGAAGAATATCAGTTGCAATATCAGTGGTAAAATTAGCCTATTTCCAAAAAATGTGGAGTATCCCTTTAAACACTAGGTTTTGTTTAGCTAGAAAGTAATATGTTTGGTGACAACGCTGGTCCTTGGACAAATAATCAAAAGCTTTATAGAAGCATATAAACAGCAGCTATTTGACTCTGGTAGTTTGGCTGCTTTCATCTCTATAATGTTCTTTAGTCAAATTGAGTCGTTTGTAGTAAAATCTCATTTGCTTTGCCAAGCCTTTCTTGTTATTTATGAGTGGTTTGCTAACATGTGTCGAATCTGATACTTAAACACAACATTGATCTATTTGAAAATGTTCTCCCACTGTTCCTGCTGACAAGTTTAGTCCCGTTTGTTGGTACTGACCTTTTGTTTGATCTGTTTTTAGGACCCAGCGGTTCCTCAGTGGGCCGCTCTCCCCAGGGGTGGAAATGGGCTCCCAGGTGCTGGTGGTGTCCAGTGACGGGCGTCTGCTGTTCAGCGGGGGGCACTGGGACTGCAGCCTGCGGGTCACTATGTTAGGCAAGGCCAAGCTGGTGGGCAGGATCTGCCGTCACATAGGTGAGAGCCGTTTGTCCGAAATAGTACTCGGCCAAGACGCAGCTGTAGTCATTGGATGGAGTTGTTCAGCTAAAACCTAAATGAAATGAGCTGCTGTCAGATACGGCAGAGTTGTTCATTGAATCTTTTGTTGCTGAAACTGAACTATTAATGATTAAAGCATTCATAATTTGGATGGTACAAACTGCTGATTTCATTATGCATTTGATTATGCGCATGTCATGATGACTAATTAACATGCATTTCTGTGGGATTTAGATGTAGTCACATGCCTGGCTTTGGATCTCTGTGGTATCTACCTCATCTCTGGCTCACGGGACACCACATGCATGGTGTGGCAGGTCCTACAGCAGGTTTGATAACACAAAATACTTGTACTTTAGTACCAAGTTAATACAAAAATATCAGAAGTACGCATTACGTAGTAACATGTACCGATTCAATTCGATACACATTTCTCTGTCTCATTGACAGACAGCTGCTTTTGAACACTTGTGCTCCCATGTAAAGGGAGCTCCCGTGCTTCCCGTGCTTCTTTTTTTTTTTACTTCTTGGTCAAAATGTCCATCGGTTAATTTTAATCTAAAATACACTACTGTTTAAAAGTCAAGATATTAATATTTTTATTCAACAAGGACACATTAAATTGATCATAAGTTACAGTAAAGACATTTATAATGTAATCTAAAAAAAATCAAGCTCTGTTTACATTATGTTTGTTTGTTTGTTTTTTTCTATTGCTCGTAATTTATCATTTTGTTACAAATTATTTACTTCAATAATTGAAGCAGTATTTGCTTAATTGATATAATTTAAGACTATATTCTTTTGTTTTATTTTATTTTGTTAATATTTATTTTAATTTAACTTATTAAATAAAACAGTATGTTTAGTAGCATATTTATTTTGCTGTTATCGAGATTTACTGATTTTCTTCAGTTTATGTCCCTGAGATACAGTACTGTTCAGAAGTTTGGGGTCAGTCAGACTTTTTTTAATTATTAAATACATTATTAATGTATTTAATAAAATAATACAGCAAGGATGCATTAAAATGATCAAAAGGGACCGTATAGACATTTAAATGAATAATATCACAAAAGATTTCTATTCCAAATAAATGCTGTTTTTTTTTTTTTTTACTCTCTATTCATCAAAAAATCCTGAAAACATTGCATCATGGTTACCACAAAAATATTAAGCACCACAAGTGATAATAATAAGAAAAAGTTCTCGAGCACCAAATCAGCAGATTGGAAGTATTTATGAAAGCATCATATGACACTGAAGACATGAGTCATGAATGCTGAAATTCACAGAAAAAAATGTAATTTCAAAAATATTAGAATAAACAGGTCATTCAAATGATCATAATATTTCACAATATTGCTTTTTACTGTTTTTACTGTATTTTTGATCAAATGCAGCGTAAAACACTCAAAAACACCTAAAAATGTAAATGACCTCAAACCTTTGAACTGTAGTGTTAATAATAATATTCCGAACTACAGCATGATTATATAATATAACTACTGATGATATTCTTTGATAGGGTGGTTTCTCTAGCGGTCTGTCTCCACGGCCCGTGCAGGTCCTCTGTGGACATGATCAAGAGGTCACATGTGTCGCCCTCAGCACTGAGTTGGATATGGCGCTCTCAGGGTCAAAGGTCAGTTTAAATCAAGCCATTTCTAAAATGTTCCTTCAGGGGTTGAATTTTATTGCATTGCCATTATACCAAGGTTGATGAGTTTCCTCTCACTTGTCTCACATTCAGGATGGCACAGTAATCATGCACAGTGTGCGTCGTGGACAGTACCTGCGGACACTGAGACCACCGTGTGAGAGCTGCGTTCCTGCCCCTGTGGCACACTTGGAGGTCGGCATGGAGGGGCACATAGTGGCACAGACTGTTATGGAGGGCCGCACGGCTGGAAAGGTACTGATTGACTGCAGACCACTAAAAACAGTTTATCAAAAGAAGCAAGTCGTTGCTGTCGGCCGGAAAACTTGTATCTTCATTTTGCGTCATTTTTATTTCCCCCCCATAAATCACTACTCTTTACGTCTGTCTGTGAGTGTTGCGAATCTAACCAACGATAGGTATTAAAAAGAGGTTGTGACCAAAGCTTGTAACTCCATTGGTTTCTCAAAATGTAAGTCAAACCTCATAACTCCGCCCCACCTCTATTGTGAATGAATGCCCCACACAGTTTGGAACGTCTCTGCTTGTTTGCAATGCAAGGGTTAATTAAGAACTGGTTCTTTCAATAGGTACAGCTTTCTCTTTACTCAAGAAAGACTATATATATATATATATATATATATGCAGTATATCTTCTCCAGTCCTTTTAGGCTAATGTTTTATGAATTCGAGGAGTGTAGAAGAGCATAATTAATAGCATTAATACATAGTGATGGCATAGTAAATTTGATTATTAGGAAATTGAATGAGGAAAAAAAAATGAAAATGGCTGGCAACAACTTCATATCACAGTTAAATTGATATTGATTCATTTTAATACTTTTGTTTTATAAGAACTAATTTAAGTAGTCTACATAAATTATATAAAGTAAAATAATTACTCCGGCATTAACCAATTCAAATTTATAGTTTTGGGAGAAAAGGTCTTGTAATTTTAAAAAGTTCAAATGGTAAATCTGATCAAATAATTAATGATGACTTTTTATATTAACACACTTCATGTATTTAATTGGTCTACTTTAATGTCAACTAATTTTAATAAAATTTTTACAATGGCTTGTCTTCCAAAAGTCCAAGGTTAAAGGCTAGTATTTTAGCTATCAAAATATTTTCGGGGGAAAAGGCAAACAAGCATACATTAATCGCTCAAATTTTGTTACAAACTATCTTTACAAATATTAAATGGACCATTCATATATTGATGTACCGATGACCTATAAAGTAGTTTGATTAAAAAAAGAAATCGAATGAGTATGATTCGCTAAATAAAATTGACGATACGTTTCGCTTAAGTTCTTCACATGTTTATCCGATCCAATTTGATTGGAGGCGCTGTCTCGAAAAACGAGGGGTCTGAGAATGTGGGACTCTAAGTGGGGGACGGTAGATGCAGGCTTTGAGACTCACAACAAGTGCAGCTTACATCACTTCAGAGTTCCTACTAGCGGTGCGAATGCAACCAGGAAACCATGCCAAGGGGAACCATTAGTTCTCGGGGAACCACCCTGGTGGCTAGTTCCCAGAACTAAGTTTCTAGAACTACCCGGTGCGAATAGTTATTGTAAGAGTGGAAATTAACACGTTATAAAAAAAGCAGATAAATAATAATAAAAAACATATATTGTTTTTATATGTAGGTCCATTAGTGCAGTGCGCCCCCTTGACTGTTACATTGATGGATTGTTTTTGCCTTTTGTGCCTGTAGGAGAAGTATGCACTGCATGTGTATTCTGTAAATGGCTCTCTCTTAGCATCTGAGACCTTGGATGAGAAGATTTCAGCTTTGCACCTGGTACCTGACTACCTCATCGTGGGCACACAACAGGGGAACCTTCACATTCGAGACTTGTACAGGTAAACACACCTCTAACAGTTATCGTTCAAAAGTTTGGGGTCTGTGTTTATTTTTTAATAGAAATGAATGCTTTTATTCAGCTAGGACACATTCAATTGACCAAATGTTATTGTAAAGATAACATTGTTACATGTTACATTGTTACATATTCTTTTACATTGTTACAAATCAATTTGTTTCAAATAAATAGTGTTCTTTTGAACTTTTTATTCATCAAAGAATCCTGAAAGTCACTGTTTCCACGTGATATTAAGAGGTTTTCAACAATAAATGTTTCTTGAGCAGTTCAGAGGTGCCATCACAGGACTACATTTATGTCTAACAACCCTAGTGTTACGATTTTTCCACCTCTGCCTCATTTTGAGCCACGAAAAACCCTGACATTGGTCCATAGTGTAGCAAGGTAGTTTTCAGAATTTTTTTTTTTTAAGCATTTAATAATTAGGCCTACATACATTTTAGGGGACCCCCCAAGAGTCCTAAGTCATTTCGAACCGTGAAAAAAATCCTACTGAGCCCAAACTTTTGACGGTAGTGTAGGCGTACAGCTGCCCAGCTTAGCACAACATGTTTGATCAAACATTTATTTATCTTTATTGTTGAAGAATTCTTAAATCCTTTGTGTCATCACATTAAATCTTCAGCAGCTGGGTCCATGTTTACTTCTCATTCCCAAGTCTCTCTTTCTGTGTGTAGCTTAAATCTGGCTGTGGCGCCCTTGGCCCTGAAGGTCCCTGTGCGCTGTGTGTCTGTCACGAAAGAGAGCAGTCATATCCTGGTGGGCCTAGAGGATGGCAAACTCATAGTGGTTGGAGCAGGAAAGCCAGAAGAGGTGAGTGAGTTTGAGAGGGTCTGTGTGTGGAAAGGTTTTTAGGCCATTAAGTTTTTACTGTCTGAAATAGAATGCATGCTACTCATTAAAGGAGTGACCAATGAAACTGTCACCTATATTCTGTCAGATTATAGTGTTAGTACATCAGCATAATGTACAGTTTACTATTACACTACAATTCAAATGTTTGCAGCTGGTATTATTTTTTTAAATGTTTCGTGCTCTTATGTGCAAAAAGCCTGCGTTGATTTGATTAAAACAGTAATACTGTGACATTGTTATCATTTAAACTAACTGGTTTCTATTTAAATGTATTTTAAAATTTATTCCTGTAATGGCAAAGTTAAATTTTCAGCATCATTACTTCAGTGCTCAGTGTCACATGATCCTTTCTGAAATCATTCTAATATGCTGATTTGCTGCTCAAGAAACATTTCCTGTTATTATCAATGGTTGTATTATTAATGAATAATATTTATTTATATATTTAATTATATTTATATTATATATAATTATATATAATTATATTATGTATTTAATTTATTTATATTTAATATTCAGTGTTTGCTAAAATGAATATTTTAAAAATATTTGTGTGGAAACAGTAATACATTTTTTCAGCATTATTTCATGAATAGAAAGGTCAAAAGAACAGCTTTTTTTAATTTATTTTAAATAACTAATTTTTTTTATCCATTTAATACGTTCTTGCTAAATAAAAGTATTCATTTCTTAAAAGAAAAAGAATCTTATGGACCCAAAGCGGTAGTGAACATTTTAAGTGTAAAAGTTTGTAAACTTTTGTAAATATAAAGTAAAAATTGTGTAAACCGTGTAAAACAAATAATATTTTGATTACAATTAGTTTTTATGGTGTACAAGAAAAAATTATTCGAAATGACGTCCCTAAAATGTAATATTATAAATTATTAGCTCATGTTAGTTCATAATATATGCACTGGTAAAATGAATCAGCAGAAGAATATTTCAACCTAATTGTCTTAATTCAGGTGCGATCAGGACAGTTTTCCCGGCGACTGTGGGGCTCCACACGCAGAATCTCCCAGGTGTCCTCAGGAGAGACCGAATACAACCCTGTTGAACCTCCTGGTAAATGAGCTCCTCGTGCCTTCGGCGAACCCTTTGCCTCCACCGTTCTCGCAGCACTCCAATCAGAGATTGGGAAGAAGAGAGCATAATGGGAACATCCAAAACATGCACTTTTTTTATGAAAAGGGAACATTCTTGTTGACAATGCAATGATTTATACTGCTTTTAACATTCCAAAGATTTTTGATCAGGCGAATCAGGCGGTGAACTTTTTGAGCGTTGGCGGCTGAGACTGAACTTTAACTTTTTAAAAAGCAGTATGTTCTGTCCTGTGAATCACAGACTGGTCTGGAGACCGAGGCACTGTGGCTCAGCGTCTCTGTCACTGAGTGACAAACCGTAATCACCTGAGCCGTATCTTCCTATGCTGATTTTTGCTTCTGCTTTGCTGATCACGGTCAGCACAGCAGCACTGGTACTCTATCTGACACTTGAAAAGCTTCGTATATTGAGCAATGTGTAATCTATGAATCAATCCAGATTTTTCCATGGGACAGGCACCAACAGAGATATTTTAGCTCTGTGTTTATATGTGTTTATAGGTGTGGGTGTTTGTATTACTTGCAGATACTTTGTATAATGCAATAATTATGTGACGCCTAAATTGGAACAAGATCATTTCACTCTTGTCCGACGATGTGTGACGATTTGAGCCCTATTGACACTTGATTCAGTACCACCAGTGCCTTAAAACAGGTAAACAATATAAATCTTCATAATTATGATTGATTGTGAAATTATATGTATTTAAAGGGATAGCTCACTCGAAAATTTAAATTTGTCATCACTGAGTCTCCCTCATGTCATTCCAGCCCTGTATGACTTTATTTCTCCTGCAGAACACAAAAGATATATAAATATATATATATATATTAGTGCTGTCAGTTGTTTAAAAAAAAATAATCAAAGTAATTAATCTAAAATTCAAACATTTTTCTGTAAGTTATCATGATTAATCGATTTTTTTTTTGTTTTGGGGGCGGGGGGGGGGGTAAAATTAGTAATTATAGCGATTCAACATCACAGTATAATTCAAAGCTATCTTTTAATCATTTAATAGGCTTAAAAAACGTACTTTTAATATTTTCATAAACACATTTTAATAAATGTCACATGTCGCCACACACAGAAACAAGTTTTTAGTTATTTATTAAAATACGAGGTTACATAATCCAAAAACAAGTTTGGCACCAGCATTTTACATACCAGTCATAATTCTTGATTACAATTTCTAACACAAACCGTTTTCCTGACGACTAAAAAGTCACAAAAAAATAAATAAAAGACAAGTAAAGAGTCAGTAGAGAAATTAGAACAAATAAACAAATTACATATATTGAAGAATCGTCTTTTGTACCAATTAAAGTCAATGGGGTCCAAAACAACATTGTATGGTCAAAAAAAGATTTACGAACAACATGATGGTGAGTAAATGATCACATGGTTTTAATTTAGGGGTGAACTATCACTTTATTTCATTGGGTCCTGCTGATAAAAATGATGATATTCTCCATAATCACACTGGGTAAAATCTTTCATATGTTATGTGTTATAAAAAAAGAAAGTGCCTTCCTGTCAGCGCACTGAGGGATTCACACAGCCATCACAAATATCCTCTTAAATGTCAGAGTGCACTTGTTTGTTCTTTCACTGTAGGGTAGCGTTTTCTAAAAATGGCCATAAATTGCACTTGATATGAAAAGCTTTTGGTTTCTTTTCATATTTACGATATGGTTTCAGAGCATCCTTGGATGCCGCTTAAATTCAAATGTTATCCACTTTTGAACTTCGCAAAGTGCCTCAACTGTGTTCTTCACTGTAATTATTAAACTATTTGTAATATGTGAAACATATGCCAGCTAGTCTTAATTGGCCTGTGAATGTGTCTGTTGGCTGGGGCCACAATTCTGTCTATGTTACCATTGGAATTCTTTTGTCTAGATGTTTTGGGGTTGTTTTTTCTCTTGACGCACTGAATACTTTGAAGGCTGTGCTGTATGAGTGGTGTCTGCGAGACACATGGGTATTCGGACACATCTTGCTGGCTTCTCTGGGATGGTTGCGTTCAGTCTTTTGCTCTGTACTGTATAGCAAAGTCAGCAGAGACAAAGGGACGCACCGAGCACAACGGCTAGCAGTTATACACACTGTTTAAAGGGTTTTTTTTTTCAGATATTTACTCACATTTGTATTGTTCTAAACTCATATGAATTTCTTTCTTCAGTGGAATAAAATGTAGTGATTGCTCTTTTAGAACGACTGAGTTTTTCAAGCTTTAAATAGAACATAAAAGCACCAGAAAAGTTGTCCATACAACTTGCACACTATACGATATGTGTTGTGTTAACAACAAACTAATATGTAAGGTGTTAATAGCTGAAAATCTTTGCCTCTGGTGAGCTGTTAACTGCTGTGAGCCGTTAACACATGAGTGAGTTTGATTTACGTACCAGTCTTTCAGGCTTTGTAAACTGGATCGTTCACTGAAAAGTTTAAAGGGGTGGTAAAATGCCATTTTCAAGATGTAAAATAAATGTCTAATGTCCGCAGAGTGTGTGTGTGAAGTTTTAGCAAAAAATACCCCACAGATATTTTTATATAGCATGTTACAGTTGTCACTGTTTGAGGGTTTGCAAAAACGCACCGTTTTGTGCCTGGCCCTTTAAATGCAAATGAGCTGCTGCAGAGGGCGGGGTTTCAAGAGCTTGTGTGAGCAGAGAATGTCTAATTGAAGATAATTGGCACTGGTTGGTTACTTCCGGGTTCTGGACTGGCTGCAGTAACACGTCTCTGTCCATGCGGGGGCGCTCGCGGTCGAGTGCAGAATGAATGGGAGTCAATGGGGGTTCACCCCCATAAAACCACTTTTCTCAGGATGTAATTTTTTGTCGAGTAATTTGAAAGTTGCATTCAAGGGCTAAGATAATACACTCAGCTGAAAATTGCATTTTTAAGTTCACTTATCTGTTCTAAAAATCCGTTCAAAAATGTGATGACGTCACACAATAGCAGAATGCTAGCGTGTTCCGGCCAACAACGGCCTAACCTGTAAGAAATCAAAAGGACATAAGTACTCGTTCATTCGACTTTTGGCCTATAATCTATATTGAACTTGCGGAATCAACAATAAAATACAGTATATGTTAATTTAACGACAAGCAGGTGAAAGAGACACTTTTAGCCGTTTAGCCCCATAGACTCCCATTCATTCTGCTCTCGCCCGCGATAACATCCAGTGGAATTCTACTGGAACTACAACCAAGATGATACACAATGGGGCTAATAGGAAGTGCCAAGGCTCTCCGTTAGACGGGCTCTGGTGTGAGTTAGCAGCAAGGTGGTAATCCATCGACCAGAAGTTGAAGCCTTGCGGGAGCTGCCATCTTGTAGCAGAACTTCACTTGTGTTAGCATTTCCATTGACTCCCATTCATTTTGGCGTTACTTTGACAGTGAATAACTTTACATCTGAGGTGTTTGACGACCCCATTTGTCCTTTATTTATTTTTAAAGAAACACGACAATGTATAAAATGCTCCATTACCTTGTAACTTATATGTTATGGCCCCGTAGAAGCAGTTTTAGTGAAAGTAGGCTAACGATTGCGTCCCAAGCGACTCTCTGTCGCACAGTAGAGAGATTACCGTATGGACAGGTGGAGAAGCTCGCGGGCAATCGGGGAAACGTGGAGGAAAAATGACAAAATAATTAATCAGAATACCTAGCAAAAGTTTCTCCTGCTCCTAGCTCATGGACAGCTACTCACACTCGCCGCCTCTGCAAGTTTCAGAAGGGAATGATTCAGATTTCTCATGCCACAGCCACTAGAAGACAAACGGTTTGCTCACGTCACATCTACGTCGTCAAGCTCTGTTTGAGTCTGCGCGTCACAGACGGAAGTGCTAAAAAATCGCCAAAAACGGGCTTCACTTGTCTCAATGGAGTTCCAATGAGATGACTCTGTCCACTTCTTATACTGTATGGTTAGCAGATGTGACTTCCTCACACGCAGAAAATAACAGAAACTGTTCTCTCTGTAATGTTAAAACAGATTCAGTCAAAGATGGAGAGGCTCAGGAAGAAGTGGCAACATGTAGAATGCAACAGAACGTCTCTGAATGGATAGTTGATGGATTTATGTTGCTGATGTGGAGTTAACTATCTTCAATTAGGATATTCTGTCATGTAATCTATAAATCGCTCATATAGGAACTGTTGAGTGACTTTCTATTGCATGTGAAAAGCTATACAACAACTTTTCCTCTTCTCTACATGGACTGCGTGTTCCCGGGGGCGGGGTTAATGTACATTTAGGGTTGGTGATGTTACTAACCCGAGAGGAAGCTCGTGTAGTCACTACCAGCTGTTTGTTGTAGTCCTTTTCTTTAGAAGCAAATATCTTCCTTTGCTTTGTAACTTTGATAATGTTGTTTATGCTCAAACAGCAACATTTCACACTAACTTCATCTTCACACTAACTGAAATCATACTTTACCACCCCTTTAAACTCAAAAGAACAATTTGTTCATGTTACACTCAAAAGCATTGATGGTTTCATGAAGAATCTTTAACATCCATGGACCTTTCAATTCCAAGTAGGTTCTTGATGTTTAAAATGTTCTTTGCTAGAAAAAAAAAATGTTAGTTTGACACTCAAATTAAACGGTTCTTTGGGAAACAAAAAATATTTCTCAATGGCATTGCTGTGAAAATCCCCTTTTGCAGCTTTTAACATGAAGAGTGTAATTAGGATGAATTAAAATTCCACATTCAAAGCGACTATAATTTTTTATATGGCTTTTTTATGCTTCAGCCAACATTCATTATAACTGCATGAACGACTAGTAGTGAGTGACTAGAGCGACTTTTCAAAATCCTCTTTTTGTGTTTGACTAAAGAAAGAAAGTCATACAGGTTTGGAACTTCATAAGAGTGAATAAATGATTGCAACATAAATGAAACAGATTTTCATTTTCTTTCAGTGAATTGTTCCTTAAATACAATATATCACTATCATTCAGTTTAAACACTGCCACTGAAACGTTTACTATAAGATTGTGTAACTTAAGGGAGTTTTTTTTTTTTTTAAGGGACGTGCATTATTTTTCTATATGAGAAACTGAAGCCATAAGAGTTTAAGTCCCATTTTTATGAAATCACTCCATGATTCTTTTTATGTATAGACTGTGATGTTGTCAAACTGGTTGAATTACATTCAAGCTTCATGTCTGTTCGAACAAATGATGGCTTCAAAAGAGACCATTCTCTGTTGAACACATGCCCATTTCTGCTTGAGTGAGTGATGTGTATTAGGGTTAGGGAATTCGTTTTTATGGTTATATTTTCTGTTTTCATTTTAATTTCCATTTAGTCTTTTGTCTTTTTAATAATTATTACTGTTTTTATTTTCATTTCAATTCAAATTAATGTTTATTTCGAGTATTTTTAATGCTTTTAGTTTTAGTTAACTATAAGAATGCAAACAATCTAATGTGATTTATTTTAATTTACTTCATAATAATAAAAAATATTTTACTTCATAAAAAGGAAATATAAAAATATTTTTTTTCTCCTCAGTTTGACTCCTTTAAGATCCTAAAAAAGGCTATTTTCTTTTTCTCAAATCAAGTCTCAGTTTTTCCCTGACGTCTCAGCCTTTTAATCCCTCCTCCTGTCCTGACGTGTTAAACCCTATTAGAGTTGAAGAGGTCACAGTTACACCACATTTATCTGAGCCGGGAATCCTTTGATCTCTCAATGGGCCGAGCATCCTGTTGGCTGACCCATAAACACCCCAAGGGGTACGTTCCAGTGGACGGCAGGGGAGGAAGGGGGTAAGACTCTGGCATGGAGGGATGGAATGCGCCTCTTCCAGTCACTACATGCAGCGGGACAGAGGAGATGGGATGTGCTGGTTATGGTGGCAATTCTGCTCTGATGTGGGTGGAAAACAATGGGAGGAGGGCTTGACACCTTGCTCATAGTAGAACCAGGCATCTCCCCTCCACCCCCAGAACAAGAGGTGGGGGAAGGGGTGTAGGTTAAAACGTCTTGACAATCACTTGTTGTCTGGGTAGTTCCTGAACCACAACAACCTGCAAACAACCACAAAGCCTCCCACCCCCTTATACTGTCTCTGCGTTGTCAGGCCATGATCATCTTCCATCTTTTTGAAGTATTATTATTTCTTTGCTCTGATCTGCAAATTGACACTCTGGTAACAGGCTGCCAAAGTCTTTGCATCTTTGGAGAATTTATAGTCTTGGAATTTACAGTTCTCTGCTTCTCCGCGTCTGTTGACCATTATCCAGAGTCTAAAAACAAGTTAATGACTCAGGACTAACTGACATGGGTGTTGGCCCGAGAGCTCTAAATATAACTATAATAATAACTATATTAGCGCCCACACTGAGGACCATAACATTGTGTTTATTTTAAGCATGCTCTGCAGTTATGATGCCACATGTTTTTATCATTCAAAACAAATCGTTCTGAAAGCGATTCCAACAATAGCATTCCTCTGTACCGTTATCTATTCACTCTTAAAGGGTCAGAGGTCACTCTTCTACCAAAACTAGACTCATGGATGACTGTTACTGGTCTGGAAGCCAGTGATTATAGTATAAAGTTATAAATATGGACATTTTCTTACAAAAACACATCGATTTGCTTCAAAAGGCCTTTATTAACACCCTGGAGCTGTATGGAGTACTTTTTTGGGCTTCAAAATAAGGTACCATTCACTCCCATTATAAAGCGTGGACTGGATGAGCCAGGATATTTTTAATATAATTCTGATTGTGATTGGCTGAAAGAAGAAAGTCATATCCATCTGGCTTGAGGGTGAGTACATTTTGGGATAATTTTGGGGTGAACTAACCCTTTAAGTATGCAATTTTTGGGTTGGTTTTTTTGTGATAAATTTGAACATCTGAACTGTTTACGTTTTGTCAGTCAATCATTGAGCGATTTCTAGGCATATTACCATGGTAGCCTAACCATATTTAATAATCTGATTTCTTCCTTATTTTTCAGAAGCTGGATCCAAAATTGCATACTAAGTAGCTACTTTGATGAGGAGCGTACTCAAAACATATGTTGTATAGTGTGATTGTGTGTAGTCTAAATGCAATCCCGACGTACTATATTCTCCATGTTGCCATTGACACATGACTTGCTTCACTGTCATGGGATATAGTTTCCATGGGTGCATCTCAATCAGCTCCCTAGTTCAATAGTCAGGGCACTGATCAGACAATCTGTCATTTTAAGAGCTGTCTCAATCGCAAAATCGTTCCAGTGCACTGAAACCTTTGCTCCATAAAAAGTCCCACAATGCACCGTGAAAACCAGCGAGCATCAATGGTCGGATGTTCTCTAACTGGAAATTCTGAAGAGTGAAACATAAATCGTGTGAGCCAACACTACACAACTTTATTTCGCCATAATACATCGCTAGACAGTTAGCCTAGTGAATATAGTTAACATTTATAGCTGAAATGTTGTATGTGGAAATGTAACAATCAACGTATCATAATGTACTTTTAAATAAACAATTGATGTCAGCAAGATTTCTGTGCGGCTATTGTTCATAAATACCAGTAAAAAGTTGTACATTGAAGACGTTGAGCCCTCACTGTCCCAATGTGTAGTGAATGAGTCAGAGTCCTTACCACCAGTGCCCAAATTCGTGTAGCCTACACAATATACTGATTAACAACCTAGGAAGCTGATTGAGACGCAGCCTATCAGAATCTCTCTGGAAGCAGTAGGTCCTCCGAGTAGGTACTGTGTAGGCCTACTTACTGTCATATTCTGACAATGGGATAATCTTTTATTTGGACACCAAGTAATTGTAAAATGGGACCTCTGCAGTGAAGCTGTGACTTTGTTGTGCAAAATCACCCTTTTATGTTAAAACATACCTATATGAATATATGACAAAGAATATTCCAGTTAGCCTAGTAATTTATTTTTTTTATGGGAAGTGACATGGTAATTTTTTATAGGCCTATTTGAGGGTTAATATCTAAATCTTAAAATTGACGTTATTTGTGACAAATTGTCGGGATAGAAAAAAAACAAGAATGATAATTCTCTGCAAACTGACGGGGCATCTTCAAAAAACATTTCGGACGTTAGTTCCCCAGTTCAGTCATTAAGACCTACCAGGAACGAAAGGAAAAGGCGAAACGAATAGGTGAAGAAATAACTGAACAGTGAACACCATTTCTTCTTTAGGCTACTTTACCCCCGCTTCAACTTGGTCATTCTTTGAAGCGCTTGATCATTGTATGCGAGGGAAGTCTCCATTTGTTGCTCTCTGAAGTCTCGAGACCCCATACTGAGTTTTACGGCGTTACTTAAAACCCCCTCAGACCTGAAAAGTCTGTTCTGTTGTTGTGTCTCTTTTTATCTCAAAGTCTTAACTGAAGCCTTCTTCTACTGAATAAAATGGGGGTTATCTGTGCAGGTACTTGTCCGTTCAGAATTTCAAAGTTGACAGTTAAGACAGAAAATATTAACACATTTTTTTAAAATACAAAAACAATATTTCAAAATATTTGTGCAACATCTCTGTGACCATATAAATGAGCACTATATGAGACAGAAGAAGAGTTTGAACCTGATCAACTTTTCTCCATCACGCGCCAGTCTGTCCAATCACAGAGAGCGCGTGCGTGTGAGGCTCTCTGTGCGCGCGTATATGGGGGTTTTATGTTCACCCCTTCAGTAAAAGCTATTTAGTCAACAGCTGACCGCGACCATAGCAGCAGTCGCGTGAAGGATCGGCGCTAACAAGCAGATTTGACTGCGGAGACAAAAGAAAGATGATGTTGTGAACTTTTAAAGCTTCCTACGAGGATTATCCGTATACTGTTACAGCGCTGTTCATTGGAAGTCTCGAAGAAAAAAAGACGGTTCATATGGAAGAGAGTACCAGATACTTTCAACAGCTGCTCTAACGTTATATGTCTTATGTTTATACTTTGTCGTTATGAACATTAGTGTGTTTTGAGCACAAGAGACTCGTTGCATTATTTATTTCCCAAACACTGAGGGAAAGTCCTGAAGATGATGAAGGAAGCGATGGCAGCACTTCAACTCTGTGTGTTTATTTTGGCCGTAAAGGTGAGTTATTCTGCACTATTTAAGACTTGAAAACTTGTAACTTTTTATTTAATTTCTGATGCATGGCTCTAAATAGTTTTTACTTTTCATATTTTCTTTTCTTTCTTTTTTTTCAATTATGGGAGCCCGGGGAGGGTAGGCTAACACTGTTTGCTATTATGTCTGTATTTAACGTTAACTGTTAACATGTTGTTGCGCGCCATCTAAAACTTGTTTTAGTATGCCCTTGTTTTTAAGCTACACGTTAAAGTAGTTTATAAATCTTATGGGCTAAAAATCGTATCCCTAAACTGTGTCAATTAATGTGAAGTACAAAAAGTGCCTGTTGTTACAACCTCTAAGTAACCCGGTTACGTTGTAACATCAAATTAAGGCTACTTGTTCAAACTAGCTCATTTCTTTGTTAACTTAATTTAAACAGAGGGGGAAAAAATCTAATTTAAAATAAATTCTGAAACAAATAGGAATAAAACTTTTTTTAATTGGAGCTAACAACAATTAAAAACGTATATTGACTGACTTTTCTGAACTTCAGAAAGTGTTACACATTAAACAAGAGAAACTGATTCAGATGACACTTTATTTAGTATTCATTAACATTTTCACAAGTCAGACATCCAATTTTACTTTTTTTTTTTTTTAGATCAAACTAGCAGGTTAAGAAAGCAAAAGACAGGAAAGCAACACCCCGTGTCTCTCTGGGACCTGAATAGCATAACTTTATTGTTTTTCTTTCACACATAGTGCAATATCCTGCAGTTGTTCTCAGTGGGTATAAAATGTTGAATATTTACCATCCAACTGGTAAGTTTTCCAAATGATAAATTATGTTCAAAGAAATACGCTGTGCAGATGTCAAAGCAGAGACAAATGGCCCTGTGATTTATCCCCTTTATCCGAACACCAAAATAAAAAAACTGCTGTTTCACTCTAAATTAAAACCGTTATCACATTACGCCTGATTCATTTGGGCTGACGTATTCAAAACCCAAACGATGAATGTTTTTTTGCTTGATGATTTTGCATCCTTTTCAGGTCAGTGGTAGTTAATGCATTAAATGCTTCTGGCCTGATCCAGATCCATGTCGTCTCCTGGTGTGTTCAAACATTCTGTGGAGGAGCCAGGGACAGGATCCCCCCATTGGTTGATAGGCAACCACAGCTTAAGATCTGCAGGGGCCCGGGATATCCGGAGCATTGTAATTATCATCATTTTCTCTCGGTCTGTGGAGAACGAGGGGGTATAAATCGCAGCTCAGTAATTTGACTTTCCATTTAGCCACATCACTTTACTTATTTCGGTGGGGGCCAGAATTGAGGTTTCCTCTTGAACTCACAAACTTTTTTTTTCTCTTGTTCCCTGCTCGTTTTGATAGAGAAATCTTTGTCAACTTCTTTACTTTTTGTCAAACTGACACTTTTGTAAATGATGTTGAAGTTGTGCAGACCCGAGGCTGTGTTTAGCCTGTTGTGAAATGGATCTTCTGCTACTGTTGGCTGCGGGAGATAAGATAGCGGTCAGTCTCAGTGGATGTATGTGGTTGTATGTTTGGCCGGAAGGAGTGAGGGGTCAATCCCTGTTGCCTTTAGGGGCTCATAGCTCCTTTCATGTTCTCATAATTCAGACGGCTCTTTCCAAACTTGCTAATGGCAGCACAATGTGCTTATATATTATATCATAACAGCACTGGATTTAAAGGCATAGTCAACCCAAACAGATATTACTTACTTCACCTTCAAGTCATTCCAAATCAGTATGACTTTCTTTGTTCTGGAAAGAAGATATTTTTGAAAAACGTTGGTGTGGTTTTTGTACATACAATGAAAGTTAATGGGGTACGATGTTGTGTTTTTGACTCCACTGACTTTCATTGAATGGACAAGAATAGTTCTTTAAAACATCTTCTTTTTGTGTCCTACAGGTCATACAGGTTTAGAAGGACTATTAAATGTAATTGAATTAAAATGTTTGGGTGGACTACTATCCCTTTACAAAATACCCCATCATTCAGTGTGTGTGTGGCATTATGAACTTAAGTGTGGCATCCAGACTGACATTGACTCTTAGAAGAGGGAATGAAATGTTTGGGTAGATCAAAGATGTTTTGTGTGAAGTTGTTTCATTCGTATGCATTATCTCTCTGCATTGTGGAATCAGCACTGATGTGTCTGTATTCATGCCCACCCCCGTTCCCGATCCTCAGAGCACTACATTCCTGCTCTGCCCAAATGTTTATAGGTGTAGTGATATATCATTAGTCCCCACTTTGTACATTCTATTTAGTTAGACTTAAGCACAAATTATATGGTGAGATATTGTCATCATTGAGGATCGTAAGTTCCCCTCAGATTACTTTGTTTGGTTAGTATTAAACACCACATTAGGAAAACTGTACATTCCAATGGTACTGCAAAGAAATCTCTAACTTTCCAAAAATAATGTATAGCCTAGGACCCCTCCCCCAAACGATTTTTCCAATTAGTTTTAATTCAAACAGAACCTGTCAAAGTTTAGGAAACGTGTATATATATATATATATATATATATATATATATATATATATATATATATATATGTGTGTGTGTGTGTGTGTGTGTGTGTGTGTGTGTGTGTGTGTGTGTGTGTGTGTGTATAGACCATTTCACAACAAACAACACTGGTCCAGAAGCACTTCCTGTTTCAGTTTTTTAACACTACACTAAAAAAGCTGGGATAAAATACAACCAACAGAACATTTAAAACTCAATCAAAAAGTTAAACAAACATCTTTAAGATGTTTTCTTTACATGTGAAATAAAGAAAACAGTTACAAACTGAAACAGGAAGTGCTTCTGGACCAGTGTTGTTTACATCTTGTGAAATGGTCTATGTGTGTGTGTGTGTGTTTTTGAAAGAAGTCTCTTAGTCTTAGTTTCATAATGCCAAGGCTTCATTTGTTCATTCAAAAATACAGTAAAAACATCAATAATATTGTGAAATATTATTACAAATTAAAATAACTGTTTTCTTGTTGAATATATTTTCAAAGTAATTTATTCCTGTGACACGTTTAACAATACTGTATTTTTAAAGAAATAAATGTTGCCTTGGTGAGCATAAGAGACATCTTTTAAAAACAACAGTTTCCCAACTTTGGACAGGTACTATAGTTACTGTTCAAAAGTTTTGGGTTTGTAAGATTTTTCAATAATTCAGTCTCTTATGATTGTCAAGACTTTTTTGTTTGATATTTAAAAATTCTGAAATATTATTACAATTCAAATTAAATCTTTTAATTGAATATACACTACCGTTCAAATTGTTTTTTAAAGAAGTCTCTTATGCTTACCATGGCTGGATTTGATTAAAAAAAAAAAATTATTAAATATTATTAAATATTATGACAAAAATGAATGTATTTTAAAACTGAGATGCAAAGCTTCAAAAAATCCAGATTTTTTTTTACATAACTATTTTCAACATTATAATTAGAGCCTGACCGATAAAGGATTTTGAAGGCCAATACCGATTTTTAAAATCCGATATTCCGATATATCGGCCGATATTTTATTTATTTATTTGAAACTGGACATGATGATCACAAATTTTGTCAAGCTTATTTGAGTTAAGAGAACTGATGGGGATGTTCTTTTATTGTTATTCAAGCAATGTATGTATCGTGACCAACTCAACGTGTTGCCAACAGGAACGGTGTAGAGTGCCCTCTGGTGGAAGAACTATACAACTCCAACACTCATGACATGGTTCAAGCAGGTTTCGTCCCTTTTTATTTTATTTTTGAAATATTCATTTATCGGCCATTATAACTGCCGATACCGATAGTTTGGAAAATGCCTAATATCGGCCGATAATATCGGTCTGGCTCTAATAATAAAAAATGTTTTTCGAGCAGCAAAGCAGCGTATTTGAATGATTTCTGAAGGATCATGCGACACTGAAGTCTGAAGTAATGATACTGAAAATGTATCAGGATTAAATTACGTTTTATATATTAAAATTGAAAACTGTTCTTTTAAATTGTAATAGTTAACAATATTACTGGGGTGTTTAGTATTTTTAATCAAATAAAGGCAGCCTTGGTGAGCATAAGAGACAACTTTTAAAAAGATCGTACCGATCCCACACTTTTGAATGGCAATATATATATATATATTAACATGTCATTTATTCCTGAGACGGCAAAGCTGAATTTTTTAGCATCATTACTCCAGTCCTCAGTGCCACATGATCCTTCATAAATCATCCTAATACACTGATTTGCTGCTCAAGAAACATTTCTGATTATTATCAATGTTGTTTGGCGGCGTAATATTGTTGTGGAAACTGATTCTTTCATGAATAGGATCAAAATGGCTGAATAAAAGTAATAATTTCTTTAAAAAAAAACCCACTAGAATCTTACTGACCCCAAACCTTTGAACGGAATATATATTTTATTTATTGACTTTATTTATTTATTACTTCAAATACCATGGAATATTTATTGACTTTATTTATTTATTACTTCAAATACCATGGACATCGAGGAGGCATTTCCGTAATATCAAAATGTGTGGTTCGACAATATGGGGTTTTGGTTAATCGCTACTCAGCTTTACATCTTTTTAAACTCTGCAAAGATCCTGGAGTTTCAACAATAGTCAAGTGTGACTGAAATGCGGAATAAAGGTGCTCTTTTTACTCCCAAAGTGAAGGTTGTTGCCCTGTGGGCTGCTGTGGACAAATGTGTATTAGTGTTTGAATGAGATTATAAGCTTGTGCGCTCGTTCAACAGGTTTACACACGCTCTCTTGTCCCAACAGAGATCAGAGAGAAGAAGAGCGAGACATCAGAGAGGCTGTGTGGGTTTTTGCTTTCCCTCTTTGGAGGCGCTTTACATGTTAGGCATCTGTTGGCTCTTGCCAGAACCCCAGGGGGCAGTTGGGAAGCAGAGGGGGTGTGTGAGGGGTAATTTTCCTAAACATATGCATGTTTAAGATGCCGCAGAACTGACCTCCGCTATCACACCTGCAGAGGTGCGGGAAGCATCAAAGTGTTTTCTCTTACCCAAACAGACGCACTCACACACATCACACCCTCCCCTGAGGTCTCGAGCTGCACCGCTGTCCTCGCCGCTGATGCCTCTGTTTGAACTGGGTGCAAACACACAATGCTCCATTCCCATGAACGAGGAGTCTTTTTAAACATCCCCTTTTCGCGCTTCTTCCTGCCTCATCCTTAATAACATATTTTATAGCCTAGTTGTTTGATAGGGTGTGTTGTTACACTCAGTCACTAGTATTTACACCAGGGGCGGCTCGCCCATAGAGGGCGCTGGGGCGCCGCCCTCCCTCCGACCTGTCTGTCTGTTTTTTTAATATATATTATAATTTATCATTTTGAAAAATAATCTGTGTTAATTATATGCTAATAATGGTTTTACTTTGAAAAGTGTTTTGAACTCACCAGAATGATATTTGCATTCACTTTCGTTACTTTTATCATGTTGGTGTAGTAGTATAGCCAATAGGCTGTCTTCTCAGGGCGCCAGTTCGCTCAGCCCCACAGTGCTGGAATTTAAGCCAATGGTTCCCCGGTTGCTATGCAAAAAAGTTTATATTTCGCCAATCAGCGTCGTCAAGTTTTATGGTTTGGGGGCGCTGAAAATATCGCCCACAGTATCAGATTAGGGGAGTGCACCGTGCACGCGCACCACGGGACATTTTTTTACCTCAGATGAGAGCAGAATGGCAGCGCCAGTGACGTCGAGTGGAAATAATGTAAAGTTAGTCGTGGGAATTGACCTGTCTGTCTCTGTCACTCACTCACTCACACACACATAAACACTGTTTCACACACATTTGATATTAAAATACTTATAGGAATATTAATACCTGTGTGTTTGCTTTGTTTTTTGATGTTTTTAAGTTCTGAGCTAGATTACTGTGTTTCATACTAGCTAAAATCAACTTTCTTCTCATACTTGGGTGTTACCCTCAAGAATGTTGTCCCACCCTCTCTTTCAGAGCCTTTTCTCTCTCTCTTTCTCTAGTATCAACACATTGTTATCCATTATCCAATTGTCAATTTGTCAAAAATATGTAGTCTACAGCTGGGGATTGATTAAACTAGATTGTTGTATTACCTATTATTTTTTGTATTACCTATATTATAATTTATCAATATTATGCGTTTGCACTTTTTCTGTCAGCACACAGAGCATAATAAACATGCAACTTGTTCATTATCATTAACTGTAAAACTGTTATTATTATTATTCTATTATTTGACCATTGGTATTGACTGGTTTAAGTTATTTTATTGGTATAGGTAAGGGACCCCCAGACCCCCCTCTTATTCAGCCTACCCTCCAATATTTTTCACCAGCCGCCACTGATTTACACCCAAATTGGAGTGGTAAAGTGAAGTCACACAGACTCCTTAAAGGATTAGTTAACTTCAGAATTAAAATTTCCTGATATTTTCTGACACTTTGTCTGATTTCTGATACTTGATCTTCCAAAAAGATGGAAATGGATAAGTACTCTGAATGTTCCGATCCAATCTGACTTGCTGCCTGAATCATACACTGTTCCTTTGTTGGGCAGAGGAGAACTGAGTCTGTTTTTTCCCAAGGTTTTTTTTTTCCTCCATTCTGTCACCTGATGGAGTTTTGGTTCCTTTACTGTTGCCTTGGCTTTTGGCTTGCTTAGTTGGTGGACATTTAATATTCAACAACATTATTGATCTGCCTTAGTCAAGGTGGACAGTGACTCTGTTTTCTTCTAGAAACAAACTTGTTGTATTATTTTCATGCTATGACTGTGAAGCTGCTTTGATACAGTCTGTATTGTAAAAAGGTGTACCTTTATATAAATAAAGGTGACTTGATCATTTAGTCACCCCCACGTCATCCAAGATGTTCATGTCTTTCTTTCTTCAGTCAAAATGAAATTTTTTGAGGAAAACATTCCAGGATTTTTCTCCATATAGTGGACTTTAATGGTTATCAATGGTTAGAAGGTCCAAATTGCAGTTTCATTGCAGCTTTAAAGGACTATCCCAGCCGGGGAATAAGGGTCTTATCTAACGATCAGTCGATGACAATTAGCCGGGGACTGCAGCTGGAAATTAGCCGTAGAGGCTAAAGCTGCTCTTGTTATCAAAAGGGACAATCCACGTCATTATAAACTAAACTACTGTTCTAATATCTAAAATGCCAAAATTGTGTGTGTATATGTTTGTATTAGAAAACATAGCGCACCTTTCACATGTTCACATGAACTTCACTTTATAATCTTTTTTTTACCTATAATCTTTATAATCACCATTTATATTGTTTTTACAGTTTTGTATTTATTCCACACATTCTTTGAACATAATTGTCTGGTTGAAGATCAGTATATCTTCTTGTTTCTGCTCTGGAGACCTCCTCTGTAGAGAGACTGAGATAGTTCCAAAAAATAACTGTGTCCTAGGGTTGTCTAATGTCACTGAAAGCAAAATAATGCTATCATTCTTGAATTTGACATGTACTTGTGTGTTTTGCAGGTGGCTTTTGGCAAGGTCTGTATCAGTGAGCAGTTCACAAAAACAGGCGAATGTTGCAGTATGTGTCCTGCGGGCTCTGGCTTGGCAACCAACTGCGGCCAGGAAGACACCAAGTGTAAGCCGTGTAAAGATGGTGAGTGTTTTGAATAAATGCCTAAATGTGAGTTTTTTTTTTTTGGTTTTTTTTGCTTCATCTTGGGTCTGACAGAGAGTAACAATAGCATGTAGTACAGTGTAAGTAGTATAGATACCTATACCCTTGTGATGTAACAGTATTATTGTTGTTTTTTTTTCATATTCTTGATAAAAATCACTTAAAATCTCTCCCAGGTGTGTCGTTCTCGGACTCTGAGAGTCTTTCAGCCTGTCGACTGTGCGCCCGTTGCCCTTCTGGCATTCCTGAACTGGCCCGCTGCACGCCCACTCAGGATACCCAGTGTGACTGCGGTGAGGGTTTCTTCCTGTGGCGGGATGGTAACAGCACAAACTCGCTGTGCGCGCCCTGCAGCATGTGTGTGCATGGAAGTGGAGTGGCTCGGAAATGTGGTCCGCTGGGAAATACCGTTTGTGAGCGGTGTAAACCAGGGACTTACTCAAGGGAGAGGAGCGCCTGGAAACCCTGCGTGCCATGTTCTCGCTGTAGTGACGAAGAGGTGGAGATCAGATCCTGCCAGCCGGATTCTGACACTGTCTGTATGGGTGAGTGTTTTGTTCATTAAATTCTAGTTTTCCCCAAATCATGCAGCCCTTAAAACAGGGTGATTCAACCGTCCTGATATAATAATGAAGCCTTATTAAAAGGATGAAAACATAACCTTAAGTAATTTCCCTTTTTATATTTTATCATTTCTTAGGTAAAAAACTGTGAAACTGTCGTTAAAATATTATAAATATTTAAAAAAACATTTTTTGTAAACTGAGTCATGTCATATGATCAAAATACATAAAAGAAAATATATACTGTATATATCATAGAGCCTGCCCCTACAGACAATATCATATTAGCAAAAATGTAGATTATTTGACATTTTTATAACATGGCAAGGTAAGTTTATATATATATATATATATATATATACATGGTATAAACCCATAATAACATGATGATATTTATAAATATAGAATTTATGATATTTTAATCAAAATATACAGTTTAGTTTGAAACAAATATAATATTGTATAAAAAATTTTTTTTACATTTTTTTTTAAATAATGATTAATGTGTGCACTCCCATGTATTCATTGTGTAAAAATACAACTTAGTATTTGACCCACCTGTTAGTAAACATGATTGTCAATCCAAAATACTGACTGTGTAAACGTAACCCGATATGCATGTGTGTCTTGGATGAAGTTTGTGCCAAGCTATATATAAAAACATTTATGCATGTGTGTGTGAGAGAGTGTATGGTTAGATTGTTAACATGTGGCTGACACCTGTGTTCAGTCAGAGACAAGCTTTTGAGAAAATTCAGCTTTCACTTTGACTTCAGATGTTCTGCTCATTCTTCAATGAGCTAAGCAACAATCCAGTCATGATCAGATTAAGAAGATAAACACGTCACATAGATTTTGTTTGACCAAATATTAAATTGTTTCGCATTTATTTATTTTTTTATAAACTGTTATTTAAAAAGTGGCATGTCCGCATTGGATTGCATGTTAAACTGTGGCCTGAGGTGTGTTAAATCGGTTTGGTGGTTAACCAGCTGGCTATTGGGTCGCATCCCACGCTGCTCTCTGTTCTCTGCAGGGTGGAGTGACCAGTTAGACCACTTGACCTGCTGAGGTCAGGGCAGCCACACAGAGCGTTTGATCCGCACAGGCAGCCTGTGGGGTGTGTGTGTGTGAGAGTGAGTGGACAGAAGAATGCATGCATCTGTGTGATAGTGTGTGGGGTGGCCTCGCCTGCACGATCTATTTCAGGATGCAGGACGGGAGACATGAATCCTCCTGACCATTCCACACTTTTCAACATTTCGATCTGGCATTTAGTCTGTCAGCTGTGCCTGCACACACTGATGATGTGTTAATCACTCACAGCAGATGTGTGTCAGATGTGAGTTTCACGTGAAGGCTAAAATGAGCATCTGCATTTTTTTACCATCTAGGCGATTGAATGCTCTAGGCCAGGGTGTAGGCCTAATTGAGAGCTTCAAATCTAACTATTGTGAGTCTGTGTTTCACTTGATTTATGAAGACCGCACAACTACTCATTTAGTTCAACTACCAGAGGAGTATGTATGAATTCATTTTTCAGATTATATCTATTCAGTATAGAATTTTGTCGAGGATTTCTGAAAAGCCTCGTCTCTTTCTCGTGAAGCCAATCTCGTGTCTCGTCTTGTGAGATAAGTGTCTCATCACACCCCTAATATAATATAGCCTATGTGTTTAAAAGTTTGGGGTCGGTAAGCTGTTTTGGAAAAAAGTCTCTTAGCTCATCAAGGCTGCTTTTTTAAATACAGTAATATAGTAAAACAGTGAAATATTATTGCGATTTAAAATAATATTTATTTATAAATATATTTTAAATGTAATTTATTTATCTAATGGCTGGATTTTCAGCATCATTACTTCAGTCTTTAGTGTCATGATCCTTCAGAAATCATTCTAATATGTTGATTTGCGGCTCAAGAAACATTTTTTATTATTAAAGGTGCTATATGTATTTTTTAGCGGCCTCTATCGGTGATGTTTCAGATTGCAACCAATTTTTACAAGAGCGCTGTGCTCTTGCGCGTGCTCGAACAAAAGACCGAGCACTCATGGTACCGGCCACACTGAGACTTTCAACACACCAGAGAAAGCATCACACAACATGCTGGAAACTCATGTAAACTCCCACTGCAACGTTACAATAATAGGCTACTTTTATTTGCTTGACGTTGAACTATGCCACTCCATGCTCGTACCATGATAACGTTACATTTGTGGTGTTATCTAGCATTAGGTATTTCACTAACTATTCGTGTATCTTTCACAATCACCAATGTCAACATAGGCGAATGTATATGATAACGAAAACGGTTAGTGAACTAGACTGAACAATTTCAGTGTAACAGTAAGATCGTAGGAAGTAACATTAGTGAAACTGAACGCGCCTGTAAATGTGTATTAGAAACAATATGATAGTAGTGGGATGAGTGACGTGTTATTAGACTCCATGTTGTTAGCTGCAGTGCCGTCGCATAGACTGTATATAAAAAGAGGCTCGGGAGCGCGCATGCACGTCACATCCGATAGATTTCGCAGAACATCCGACCCGGAGACTTCACATAGAAATAGGAATACTGGCCTTCAGAGGTAATAGCAAAACCCGACAAGTAGATCATTGTAATGTGTGATTACAACCCCTTCACACACATGCAATAAAAAAAGGATTCATTTTAGAAGAAAAGTTACATTTAGCACTTTTAATGTTGAAAACAGTTGTGCTGCTTAATATATATTTATTTGGAAACTGTGAAACTGTTTTTTTTTCCAGATTTTATTTTAAATTTTATCAATTTATGCATCCTTATAGAAAAAAATTGTTTATTTCTTTTTTTTAAATCTTTTGAACGGTAGTATATATAAAATTTACCGGTATTTCAATATCTCATTTGTATATGAAGAGTTCAGATGCAAAAGCCTCTAAATGCCATTTGAAATTTTCTTCTTTAATGATGATTTTTATCAAGCTTGTATATTTAAGTTCAGTAATTTCACTTAAATGGCAATGATAATTACCTATTAATTGTTATTTAAGTGAAATTACTGAACTTAAATATACAAGCTTGATAAAAATCATCATTAAAGAAGAAAATTTCAAATGGCATTTAGAGGCTTTTGCATCTGAACTCTTCATATATAAAGCCAGTTCAAAATGATTTATTGTGTTACATTTCTTTTTGCAGTAAAAGACCTCAGCATCCTGTCCCGGCCATCTGGTTCTGATGTGCCGCGGGAATTCCCCCGATGGCCGACTCTGAATGATGAAACCGAGAACAGGAGCAGCCCAGCACCAGGGTCCGGATCCCCTCGACTCACACCACAGGATCAAGGGGGCAACAACAACATCCTGGTCTACGTGTCTGTACTGGCCGCAGTGGTGCTCGGCCTCCTGCTCTACGTTGCCTACAAATGGTGAGGTCATACAGCGGTTTCAAGAAGAAAAACTATGCTTTACCAGATGATTTACTTACAAATTCATTCTACTTGTATATGTAAGATATAGAATACCATAATGTGTCTGTTGAGTGAAATATTATTCTTGTAGGTTTTACTGTATATAATAAGTGTGTGATTTGGGGTGTGTGTTCAGCTGGAAGTCATGTCAGCAGAAGCAGGCTCTGGTGAAAGCACGGGTTGGCGAGTTGAATAATGCCGGCGAAGGAGAGAAATTACACAGCGACAGTGGCGTGTTCCTGGACTGTCAAAGCCTTCAGGAAAGCCAGCCCAGCAAAGGTATGAGAGAACCGCTTAAACACAGAGACATTGTCTAGGGCTGAGAATCCATACAGGTCTCCTGATTTGACTTGATTCTAGAAATAAAGACCGCAAACTCAAAACTTTTTTTTTTTAAGAACTGACTCGTCATTCGTTCTATTCATTTGTTGTTTTGAACGTCTAATAAGAATTATTTGTACTATTTATTCGTCTCTTTTTACTATTCATTAAAACAACCAACTTATACGAGTCCTTTGTACTATTCATTTATCTTTTTGAACTGTTCATTAAAGGAATAAGCTCCTAAGAGTCATTTGTTATATTCATTTGTCTTTGTGAGCCGTTAAAGTAACTGACTCGTAAGAGTTATTTGTTCTAATTATTTGTCTATTTGAACTGTTCATTAAAATAACTTTCATTTCTTCTATTTATTCATTTTATTATTAAAAGATCCAACTTATAAGACTCATTTCTTTTTGGGAATCATAAGACTTCAATGGTTGTGCGGTACGTTTTTTTTCTTTTTCTTTTAATAACAGGTTCATAAGACTTGTTCATATAAATAAATCACAAACATTGCACAATTTGTTTTTGATTCACTAAAAAGAATTGGTTCAAAAGAGTCATTTGTTGGACAGTTCGATTACACTGGTCATGGTGAATGTTTGTTTTAACATTTATTTGCATGTATTGTCACTCTTAGGCCCCGTTTACCGCTGGTATTAAGATGCGTTTTGGTCAAACGGATCACAAGTAGAAAAAGTGTCTGCTAAATGGCTGATTAGTAATTATCTGATGGCTTTCTCATGCTCTCGGCAGGCAGCAAACGGGACAGCAAACAGGACACGCGGCTTTATGTGAACCTGCCTCCCCACAGGCAGGAGGAGGTAGAGGGGCTTCTCGCAGAGGGGGGCAGTCGGAGCTGGAGGCAGCTGGCCGCCACGCTGGGTTACGAACAGGACCGCGTGGACGTCTTTGGACGGGGCCAGGACCCCATCCACACCCTCTTAACTGATTGGGCCCAACAGGAAGGGTCAACGTTGGGCCTGCTCTGCTCCGCTCTGGCTCGCATCGAGCGGCCGGACATCATCACCGCCCTCACCGCCACCTCTCAAGGAGTGTCAGTAGTCTGAATACTTGAATATGTTGCTTACGCCTTCGTGAAAGTGAAAGAGACACTAAAATAATAGAGGAAGAGCAAATGCCTTGCAGCGTGCACTAAGACTTTGAAGAGCAGGATTGGACATAATAAACATAACGTTTCACTTATGAATTTTGTTTCAACAGCTTGAGATGTTCCGCCACCTCAAAAGATTTTCTGCTCGAGACAGATGTTTCCTCCAGGATTCATGGGCAGTTTTAAGCTTAATAAGATCTTCTTTGTAGTGTCAAAACAAACTCTGTTTTCTCCGAGACATATTCGTGCTGAACAATTTCATTGTCAGTGTTTTTGGGTGGTTTTGGTTTCAGCTGTGGTTGGTATCAAAGAACACGGACATTTCTGAACATTTCTGCGGCCTCATGAATGGCAGTTTTCCATTTTTGTGGAATGGCATCATAGTAACAAAGAGAGCATCATGCTTGCGATTCAATCGTGCTTTTATATTTCAGTGCTTCTGTCATTCGAACAACGATCAACACCGAAGTATTCAGCTTGTATACTGTGGTTTGTCAAGGCCAATGTTACACTGTTTAGGTGTTTAATGGTTTCCAAAGAGGAAAACCACTAAATGGGCTGCACAAGGGAGTTTTATATTCGAAAATGTGTATATATACAGTAGGGTTGGGTATCGAGAATCGAGTATCGATTGGAACCGGGACTAACTTTTCGTTTTTCCCGGAGTCGTTCAAAAGTTAAAATTTCAATTCCTAGTTTCGATATTCATAGTCCTCCGAGCGGAAGAAGAAACTGCTGAACAACACCAGCGAAAAAGCATCTACCGGAAGTGTTGGCATAACCGCGCGAGTCAAACATGAGTAGCTTACGTCGGCGGTCCAAAGTGTGGCTTCACTTTTCTAAAAATTAACGAAATCTCGGCAAAATGCAAAATTTGTGACAAGTATTTGTGACAGAAGGAGTATTTCCTTCAGAAAGACTGTTGGTTAGCAAGGTTAGCTAAACTTTTTTGACCCTGCCTCTTAAAAGAATCGAAATCGAGAATCGTAAGGAACCGGAATCGAAACAAGGAATCGGAATCAGAATCGTTCAAATTCAAACGATACCCAACCCTAATATACAGTCAAGTTGCCTTAGCGAATGATCCTCTTTGATTTAGACAAAAGATGTCTCATTCACAATGTGCTTGGTTTGCACTTTAATCAACAATGCAACCTAAAAGCAAAGTTATGTTTTGTGTTTTATGTGAGAGAAAAACTCTGGTGCCTTTGACTTTTAACGCTCAGGTTTGTGCTTTGTTGGTTTTCTCTACCATGTATGTATTTTACGGTCATTTCTGTGTGTTAGTGCTGAGACTTGATGGTTTCCGCGCTGAGAGGCTTTTTCATATTAATAACATCCATGTTATGTATCTATCTCGTATGTTTGTCCTTTTTTAATAATGAAATATTGATGTTTAGAGGTATCTTTGTATTTTTAAAGAAAATAAATAATACATTGTGTGAGCAAAGAAGTAGTATTGTATGACACTAATGATGTATATTGGTGTAGTGTTGCAGTGAAAACATGAACCTGGAATTATAGAAAATATATTTTTCTGCACCATTAACCCAAACAGTCAAATCTGGAGCCGCCAGGTCTGATTATCCTCTTGTTGATTTAATCGTAATACTACACACATCTCTTTGCCCTTCCTGTACATTTAAGCAACATGCTCTGAATAATAGTATTTCACTTTAAAACCATAGCAGAAGGTGAAGCTGTTTAGTTTTTTTTGTTTTTTTTTTTTGTTTTTTTTTTAGTTAATTGCTCAAATTGGCAAAAGAGAGAGCTGCGTGTTATGTAAATCTTTTTGACAGCCAAAAGTTTGTTGTGTTAATGCCAACTCGACACCCAATCAAAAGCAGCAGTTTCTTGGCAGTCAGAATATCTGATGTAGTGACAAGCGTTCACAATAGACTGCTTTGTTTACATAATACGTGTTCTTGCCTGTACATCTTCCTGTGATTTATAACAAATGTCAGGATTGTAAGAGTGATTTAAACAGTGGGAACTCAAGTCACCGACCAATCATACAGATTGATTCAAAGCAAAAAAATTGCAGTTTTGACAGAACCGAGCTAATTATGGTCATACTTTCTGGTTCTGGTAAGAACTCGAGCTGCTGCGTTTTGGACCAGCTGGAATATTTTTTTTTATTAAGTATACAGGGCAACCAGCCAGTAGAGCATTACAATAATCTAGCCTTGAGGTCATGAACGCATGAACTAACTGTTCCGAATTTTTCATTGAGAGCACATGTCGTAGTTTAGATATACTTTTAAGATGGAAGAATGTGCTTTTACAGATGCTAGAAACATGGTATCAAAGAGCACACCCAGGTTTCTAACTGACGACTGTACGCCATATACTGAACTTTTGATCGACATGACACTTCTTCGTTTACTGCAACAAACTGACAACAGTCAGATAAGTATGATTTGAATCATGCCAATGCAATTTCATAAATGCCAACATAATTTTCGAGTCTATTCAAAAGAATGTTGTGGTCAATCGAGTAACACTAATAGAGAGATACAGCCACGATTGGTTGATAACAGCAAATCATTTGTAACTCTAACGAGAACCACACACTTGATGGGGCACAGTTTATTTCCACAGTATGGAGAACAAAAAAGTATGGATTGTGAGTCAATGGGGCCCATCAACTGTTTGGTTACAAACATTCCTCAAAATATCTTATTTTGTGTTCTGCAGGAGAAAGACATTCATACAGGTTTGGACTTCAGGGTGAGTAAATGACAGATTTTTTTCTGTTCAGAACATTTTTGTGTGAACTCTCCCTTTAAGGTAACAACTGCATGAAGTAAGCCTCCACAGAACTTAATTTGCCTATATGCTGATTTCACGCACCCGGCATTTTGAAATCGAAAGCGAGGCTTCGGTGGGAAGAACCCCGGAAGAACAGATAGACAACAACACTGCCTTGGACTACCAACCTGAAGCTGCTGCCACAATTTACACTATTGTATGTTAATATCCAATATAGGATATGTATAGTTCCTTCCTGCTACTTTTTTTTAAGTTCTGAATTATATATATATATATATATATATATATATATATATAAATTTAATTTATAAATGAATTTCACTGTATATATAGTCTAAAGTATGAAAGAAATGTATGTACATTTTTAGAATAACTAATTTCTACATTAAAGGGATAGTTCACTTTGAAATTAATTTTTGATATGTTTTAGCTTACCTCAAGGGCATCCAAGACGTAGGTGTCTTTGTTTCCACAGTATTTTCAATTTTGGCATTTTTTGAAGATTTTGGAAGTTTTACCTTTCACTAAACATATTTTGATATATCGAAATCGTCTTCCATTGCGATTTCCCGTATATCTAACAATGCGTGACGTAGACGCGCGAGAGATCACTTCCGGCGTAACGTCTGGAGACGGTTCAGTTCGGTTCAGTTGGACATCTGATTCAGATTAGTTCGACGGCTGTTAACAAGAGGTAAAAATGTTCGTTTTCTCTCACAAACCGCTCATTTCGTGTCTTAGGCCATCAGTGTGTACTTACATTTACGAGTCATTAAATCATGTTTAATTTTGACTTCTCTGTGCATGCTCTTTGAGGTGAACCGATTGAGGACCCCCTTCACCTCCAGTGTATGACTGACAGACAACAACGGTTTGACCAAAAAATGTCGAAATTGAAAATACTGTGGAAACAAAGACACCTACATCATGGATGCCCTTGAGGTAAGCTAAAACATATCAAAAATTAATTTCAAAGTGAACTATCCCTTTAAACAGAACAAAACGCAATTGCATTTGTGACATTCGTTTCTTTTTTTGTAAGAAATTATTCCATTTTATTAAATTTCCATCCAATGACTTTAAAAAGACAATAAATTCCTCTGAGTAATTAAAGCTGCAAACAGCGATGAAAGGGCCCTCGCACCTAACACAGTCTCATCCCAAATCGTCATATAACTGACGTTTTGGGACGTCTTTTGACCATACGTCAATATCCGCCTTTTTAGGGCCCCCTTAAACGTCGGTAGATGGCGATCCCGGGCCGTCATACAACTGACGCTTTACCTTTAACGTCAGTTAGGTGACGGGTTAGGTTTAGGGTTAAGTTTAGGTATGGGGTAGAGTTAGGATCCCATAACCTCATCTACCGACGTTTAAGGGGGGCCTAAAAAGGCGAATATTGACGTATGGTCAAAAGACGTCCCAAAACGTCAGTTATATGACGATTTGGGATGAGACCGGGTTGTCGCACCAGTGCTATTTCCACCCAGTGGCTTTAGGAAGACAGAGCACGTTGGGCAATGTGCTTTTGATTAGCCTAGTTAAATATAGGTGCAGTATGTCAATATCAGTTAAACGATGTCCTTTATTATGAGGATAATAGCATCCGTTATTTCTCAGATAAACCATGTTTCTAGCCAGATCTCAACGGCATATTTAATATGTTGGTAGAACTACATCGCACTGTTAAATATGCCACTTCTTGTTGCCAATAAGTGGCGCTATAACTATATTTTGGAATGTAGATGTTTTCAGACTAGGACACTTATAAAACATGTTAAATTTGGAGCACATTGGAAATTGCATGCTTAAGTTAGAACAACTTCCTTTTGCATACCCAGACAGCAAACTGACATTGAATCAACGTTGATTTGCTCATCGAATTAACGTTGAACCAACGTCAGACGCGGCATTCTTCAAAGCTAAATGAAATCGAAAATTGGTTTGCTTTCATAACGTTGAAACAACGCGTTGATTTCAAGTTGATTTTCCGTTAGTTTTGAAAGAATGACGCATCTGACGTTGGTTCAACGTTAATTCGATGAGCAAAACAATGTCAGATCAACGTTGTTTCGATGTCATATTTCCACGTTGATTCAATGTCAGTCTGCTATCTGGGATAGTATTGTTAGCACTTAGCTAAATGTTTGTTAGCATTCTATTATGTTGTTAGCATGTTTAGCATTTGGTGGCACTTTTTTATATGTTTATTAGGAGTCCATTATAGTGTTAAACATGTCACTTCCTGTTGCCCCTTGGTGGCGCTATTGCTGTAATTGAATATTCTCATGTAGATGTGTTCAGGCCATGACTCTTAATGAACGTGTGAAGTTTGGGGCAGATTGGACATTCCATGCCATTCCATGAGTTACAACTACAGCTCGCTGCATCCTGCGGTGGATATCCAACCCGGCCCACATCCAAGTGTGACGTCAGAAGCCACGCCCATCCATGTGTGACGTCGGAATTAGCCTCGCCCATGTCCAAAGACGGCACGTGACTCAATTTGATGTGATTCGTGACGTGTACACATGCTCAAAATGCCGCTGCTTCCTGTCGGAATATGTTTATGGTTGTTATCATAGTAGTTATTGATTTATAATAAAGATGAGGTTATTTGTGTAGAGATGTGGCACTACAGATTATTGGTGCAGTTAAATTGTGACGCTTTGGCAGGCTTGGAATCGTCTAAATCACAAGCACTCCCTTAACAGCTGTATTAGACAATACGTTTGCATTGCTCACTGGTTTTGTAAGTTAATGACAAGTAAACAATGTACCTTAAAATGATATTTTTGTATTTCTCTTGTATTTCTGTTACAAATGGTAATCAATAATCATGGTTTTGCTATAATAAACATATAAGGGAGCATCTATACTTAAACTAAAATGAGTTTTTATCTCTTTCTTAATTATATGGGATCCAAACTGCACTTATAGTTATCCCTTCTAAAAAATAATTACAAAAAACTTTTTTAAACATTTCTTTCTATGTGGTTATAGAAATATTGCATTTTGCATACAAATGAGTTTAACATGTTCAAATATATATTTCAGATTTAACACTAAACAGTTATGAAATGTTGGAGTTGTAGAGAGAGAGAAAGTCAAATTGAATATTCATGTTACTGACATCTAATTCCAGAGTCCAAATGTGTAAATGTAAAAGTAACAGCCAACAATTGAATGGTCTCCTTTCTTTCCTCAATTGTTTGTCAATTTGTCAGTTAAAATCTTCCACTTCACTGAAATAGTTATCAGAGAACAGTCACAGTTGTGTTACTGTAACAGAATTATCAGTAACAAAAGGGTGCACGGGGCATTGTGCAAAAATAATGAATAATCTACTCTGACCTGCAATGATAATCCAGAAAGGAAGACCTGCTCAGCCTCCTGTGAGGAGATATCCCAGCCAGGAGACAGACAGGGCATTTATGATTGCCTATGGAAAAAGTAAATATAAATGTACAATAATATATCTCATATTCTTTTTCAAGAATAAGATTTACAGGATGTAACGTCACACATTGCTTAGCAATGAGAAGAAACTCCTGTAACTTCAGTGCCCAACCCGTATCACGACAAGACGTGAAATAATCACGTTGGTCCACTTTGGAAAACGTGTAGATGTCACGGTTAGTTTAAACTCACAACCATAAATAGGGCTTT